CACACACACACACACACACACACACACACACACACACACACACACACACACACACACACACATTGTGAAAAACATCCCGTTTAAGTCTTCAGATTGAAAAAAGTAGCTGATGTTAACACAGACCTCTTCAGCAGATTTTTACACTTGTCTCAGATGTAAAGTCTGTTACAAAGTTACACTGCCTGAACAAAACCAAGTGTCCTCCTGGATGTAACTCAGGTCTATGATGTGGGGTCTCTGCAGGTGGTCTGGTCTAGGTTCAGCAACAGTGTGTGCTCAAAGAATGAGGTCAGCTGACCTGAATATACTGAAGGACCAGGTTATTCCATTAATGATTGTTTCTTCCCTGATGGCACGGCCATATTCCAAGATGACAATGCCAGGATTCATGGGGCTCTTATTGTGAAAGAGTGGTTCAGGGAGCATGAGACATCATTTTCACACATGGATTGGCTCCACAGAGTCCATGGAGAATCTTTGGGATGTGCTGAAGTTCAGACTCTACCATCGTCAATGTGAGATCTTGATGAAAAATWAATGCAACACTGGATGAAATAAATCTGGTGACGTTGTAGAAGTTTTTCCAAACAATGTTACAGAGAATGCGTACTGTAATCAACGTTAAACCAAATATTAGAGCATGTGACCCTTTTGTTGGCCAGGCAGTGTAATAACTTTAAATTTGGATGTGGTAGTAGCTGAGAGTCATTTACAACACAAACTCTAAGCATAGCATCCTGTATCAGACCGGACATAAACAGTAGTTTTTTTAACTGTGATGACCCTGTGACCTGCCCAGGGTGTACCCCTCGCACTGTGACTGCTGGATATGGGCACCGGTGGCCCCGCGACCCTGAAAGTATAAGTTTGTTCAGATAATGGATGGATGGATGGATGGATGGATGGATGGATGGATGGATGGAAGGATGGATGAACAGCATTTTTCTGTAAACTCTGCACCATCACTGGGTGAGACAGGTTCCTTTAAGGAATGCTCAGTCTTTAGTTGATAGCTTCTGCAGTAACTGGTATTTAGGGCAACGTTTATGTTGACCAATCATTCATTTCTCTTTATTTGTTGTGTAATATTGCAGAGTCACATATAAAACCACAGCTGATGAAAAGCATTAGGCTCTGCTGCTGAAAAGAACTGGACGGGTTCTGAACATGGACTTTCCTGGAAGATCATTAATAGACTAATGGACCTGAGACCCATTATGTTCAGAGTCAGAAACACGATCAAGAGGAGACATCAGTGATGTCAGCATATTTAGACTGAAGACAGAAGATGGAAGCTGCTCAACAGAACTGAAAATATGGATGGAGGACCTCAGTTTAGCTTGTTTGTCACGCTAGTGCCGAGCTAATATATATAAGGCAATATAGCATCGGCGCTAGCGCAAAGGCTAACAGGCTAAGCTGAGGTTCTTCTTCCATGAAGCAGCTCTGTTGTCCTCCATCCATATTTTCAGTTCCAGGCTGAGTCATTTCTACCTTCTCCTCTCTGTCARCGCTCTCTGGTTTCATTTAAAAGAGTCAATCATCAGATATTGTCCAAGATTAACCTTCAGTTAAAATGTATTTTTAAAAATGATGAAAACTAAACAGCCTATATTATTTTTACAGTCTTTATTTTACAGTTAAAATATATGTTTATCAAATAAAGTCTAATGTTACAACTAATCGGGGATCCCTTTAAACCTTGAGACGTTGCTGGCAGACAGGAACAGGTAAAAACATGAATGCTGCTTTCAGCGGTGGGCTGTATTAAATAATTAAATGTCCCATCACCTTGACTGGCATGGTGCCGGTCTTCTCTGTGCGCCCAGTGGAGGTTGCGTTCCCTCCGTTTGTGGACACAGTCCCGCCCCCCTGCAGGCTCAGGGCTTTGTCCCGGCGCCTGCGTTTGCTGCTCTCTCGTTGCTCCTTCTGCCTGTTCTGCACCTCCATCAGGGCTGTGATGAACGTGTTCTTCACTTCTTTCTCAAACTCCAGTTCGTCTCTCCGGGCCAGCTGGTTGACGAGCTCCTCGGAGTAGTGACGGATGGCGGCCTCCACCCTGTGCAGCAGCTCCACCAGCCCTGAGCTGGGCATCAGGCTCAGGCCTGCAGGAGGAAGCACCACAAACAGGAGCAGGAAGAAAATGCTGTCAGTCTGTTGGTGAATGTGAGGATCTGTTACCAAACCAACAAGCTGTGGGTCYACAGTCTGACACCACCGAGCTACAAATGCTACTACACTTGCTCTGCAGTGCTACACTGAAAACAGGACCATCTAAACATTAGGGGTGTAAGAAAATATCGATACACTGAAATATTGTGATATTTCATTTCCCGATACTGTATCGATATTCTAAAGCCCTGTATCGATTTTTTTATTAAGGTTTAAAATGCCAACTTTCCTGCCAGCCATCATTTTTATGTTGTAGTTCAGCCTCTGACTGCTAGTTGGCAGCAGTGAGCCAGCCATTTGGCTCCTCTACCTCTTGAGCGCCAGAGAGCAAGGGTAGCATTAGCATTGTGAGTAAACATTAGCTTCACGCTCCTATAGCTGAATCGGAGCAGAAAAAACCGACACCCTCTGCCTTCTAAGCTGAGGTAAGGTTATGAACAGTTCCTTATTTGTCAGAATGTCTGTATTGTAAGCCAAATTAATTGTCTCGTGTGCTATTTTTTCCAAATGTAGTCAGCCGTCATGTTACCGAAGGCAGGCAGGCAGGCATGTACAGTATGTATAACATGCGTCTAGCGCCTCAAGCTCGGCACTCCCTCCGTGACATAAAACTCTGTCTGTTGCTCTCAATGGGCCTCATGCAAGAACCGTTCGTACGCACAGTTTTGTTTTTAAGTTGTGCGTACGAG